CTGCTGGTTTAACTGCTCACTTAAGGAAGCAGAAAAATGTCTAACATTTACATGGCCTTTGTGTTATGAAGTGTGCTTGTATAGCCATGGTGGTTAGTGTTTGTAAAAACGTGAATCAGGTTTTTTTTAAAATCAGACCCCCCCCCCCATACAGTATTGAGAGCACTGGTCTTATATTCATTTCATATTAAATGATTTTCTTCTTTCTTTCCTAGAACAAGTGCTAATACACTATAACTCATCAAGAAGTTCAATATGGCTCTCTGCTTCCTGAGATGCTGGGTTTGTCAGTCTCTCCTGCATTGGCCTTCTCCAGCCTGGGGACCTGCGACCTTCGCCTGCACTAAGCCAAGCCCGAGGCTCTCTCCCTCGGCTGAGTCATAGTTCTCTACCCTTTGAGCAGTGGGGATGAATGAAGGTCTTGGCTCTGGGCTCTGCAGACCAACCCCCAAATATTGGAAGAAGCATGTGTGGGCAAAACGCTGATTGTTACTTTCTTATTCTTTCTTTTATTTTTTAAATCCCCAAATGGAGCCTTAGTAATAATAGCTATGAGGAGAAGGCAGAAAGTAAGGGGAAAGGCTCATTGACTAAAGTCCGTGCCCAGTCACCACGAGAATTACAGAGATATTGGTGGTATGGGACAGCTTCTCCCCTTAGCTCATCTAAGCCTCCAAACAACCCTGTCTGCTAAGGTGGGACACCTGACATCCCAACCCCGTGAACGGAGCTCCAGGGAGATGGGCGATTTCTATCGAATTCAAGTATTGTCCCCCCGTATCAGAGCACAGGTGCCAAGAAGGATATACACCACGACAGATCAATATTTTCTTTTCTCAGGTACTTTTCACTGCTAATCTGTAATTTTGTAACGATATTGATCTTTTCTAAAATGTTGTGTGCAGCTGTTTCATTTAGTGCCTGATGGTATTAAATAGTTGGATTAACTGGAGCTACAGTAGTATGATTTAGCGACACAAGAGTTTTGGTGGAATTCGTTTCAAAACATTTGTGCTGGCTGGGCTTTTCAGCAGACGAGCCGCTACTGTGCCAACCATGACCGAGACTTACAGGGCAAAATCCAGAACGTGGCATTTTTCAGCTCTCTGCAATGTGAGCTCCTTTCACTGGCTCAACCACAGTCTCCTCAAGTATGGCCTTGTAAGGATGTGATTTTTCTATTGGTGGAGGAAAGGTCGTGGTGGAGAGATCATTCGGAGCCAGCCCCAGAGAGACTTCAAACAGCCTAAGTATGAGGTTAAACAAGTGGAACCCCACCTACCCCCAGTTGGGGCCAACACTCACTGAGGAGGCTACAGCTTCTCTTTCTGATGACTGTAGGTGGGAAGTGAATTACAAGGAAAAAAGACAAAGGTGCCAGTGTTCCACCATGAATTCCCTTCTCCCACATTCTCCGTAAGTTTACATCTGCAAACGGGGGCCATTTGATGTGAACCTGGTCACGGACTTCAAAACCTCTGCAGCTGGTGCGAGGGGAAACACACTCTTGGTCTTCTCGTGAATGAGTTGCGTGGGAGCGAGGCATGGAAACTGTCAAAAGCAGCTGCAGGGTGGGCATCTGCTCCCAACGCAGACACAAATGCAGCTGATTATGGTTAAGAAAAAATACTAGAGCCCGGCCGGGCGTGGCTCAGCGGTTGAGCGCCGACCTGGGATCCAGGCGATCGGGGTTTGATTCCCGGTCAGGGCACATGCCCGGTTGCAGGCTCGATCAATGACCCTCTCACCATTGATGTTTCTGTCTCTCTCTCTCCCTCTCCTTTCCTCTCTCTGAAATCAATAAAGATATATTAAAAAAAAAAATACTAGAAATATAGATAAGAAATAGAATTGACTTAGGGATCACACAATCAAGGACCATGACCGTGTTCAATCCAAATCATATTTTTTTGAATGATGCCTAAATTGTCTACTTAGAGCTTCAAAAGGTGTCACCATGGCACCTGTGTGATTTTAGGGGGAGGCCAGGCACCCTTCCGGGAGCGGAAGATTACCATCAGCGTGTGGAACGGGACAGGAGCAACCCGCGGACAGATGCTCGAGGCATTTATTGGCAAGCAATTTTTTCTTCAAGTTTATAGCACAGAATCAGTTCCCCTGCCCCGAGAGAAATAACTATCTAATAAGAATCTCTCGGTTTGCAATTTCTTAAAGAGTAAAGCATTCAAACACATTTTTATAGAATTTGGGGGGGGGGTGGTGATTAAATACAGGACACAAAAACAAATCTGTGTGCTCGCGAACATCAGCCCAGCTCACAGTTCCACATCTGGTAGCTGTGTGTGTGCTAAAGTGGAAAGCCACAGGAAAGCAGCCCGTTTATCTCCTTTGATCCAAACGATTGACATTTAAAAGGCTAGAAACAATGCAGGAGGCCACAAGCAGAATCTTCAATGTTTTAAATGTTTTAGGTATAAATCTCCAACTTTGGATTAATTTAAGCATCCCCTTGTCATTCCCATAGAAACAGCAGAGCTGCTTCTATCACTATGCACTTTAGGTAAAAAGGCCTGGGTCAGAGAACCTTCCGAAGACTTCTGTAAATGTTTACAGTTTGGGACACAACAGCAAAACAAGCAATTAAATGAACCAAACACCCAAACCATGGGCTCCCCAAGTGAAAAGAATGCTGTGTCATCAGAAATGTCTAAATAGCCACAACACTTAATATTATGTCAAACTGCCAACAGCAATTCAATGCAAGCCATATGGTTCCTTTGAAATGTTATTAGGTGTAAGTTGCTGGTGCCTTCTAGTGCTTGATGGCATTGGGGAAAGGAGGCTCTGAAGTAAGAATGCTTGGAGCCCTTCAAGGTTTTAAAATAGCCCTATGTGGCGAATGAAAGTCCAGATTTACAAAGCAGGTCGTTTCCCAGTCATTGTGCTGTTGGGCAGGGGATCTAAAACTGGACCAATACTCTATGGCACTTCCCCTTCACAACTGTCACAGATCTAAACTTCTAGATCTCAGAAACAGTGCTTGCCCCTGGCCCATGATTTTCCCTGCGAGGCCAAGACGATGGCCCCAAGGAAACCAGGACTGCGACCATCCCTCCAGCCACCTTCCCAAATGAGAATCTGCAGGGAACTATCTATTTTGCTCTTTTTGTGTCAGAAGCTCCTTGTGCACTTGGCCAGCTTTTCCTTAAGCCTCCCACAGGTGGTCAGCTTTCAAAAGAATGCTCCCTGTCTCCCCACTAGAGTAAGTCACCAGAGCAAAAGAATGGAAATGTGGCCCTCTCTGACCTTGAAGTTGTGCAGTGGTGCCAGAAATCATGCGCATTGATAAAGCAGAATTCCTAAGATAGTCTTCTGGCTACAGGGTTAGATGCAGATCTAAGGGGACCAGGGGGGCAGTGCTGTCTTTGAAAGAGAGTCTCCCCCAGCTGTGCCCTGAGCAGGTGCAGCCTCTGACCTGTCCTCTTTCATGAGACCATGGGCCTCACTTTGATTAGTAGCAGCGACCAACCATCCCCTGGAGATGAGAAACTGGGGTTTGGGCAACAAGCTTTCACCAAGATCAAGCTTAAGAAGGAATTACTAGTCAGTCCTGGGGGGAAAGGTGATGACTATGTTTTCTGTTTGAGCTCTTTATAGAATACTCGAAATCTACCCACAGAACTAGGTTGAAAGAAGAAATTATTTAAAAAAAAATCAGAAAACAATGCAAAAAAAAAAAAGGCGTGGAGGGGGCTGTGGGAAAGGTGAGTAAAAACAGCCTTTAAGGCAGAAAGAAATGTATGTCATTTTCAAAGATCAGATGTTCAAAAAGAGACTATGGCAGCTTTAAGTCTAGTTATCAAGTAACAAAATTGCCCTAAAGAATGGAGAAAACATCACAAAGAATGGAGCTGCTAATGCTCCGCAGAGAGGAGGCTTTGGTGAAACTAAAGTGCTGGGGGGTCTTGAAATCTTTTCTTCTGGGAGACGAGTGTTCCCATCCAAAATCAATCAGAGGCGTTTGCAGACAAAGCAAGCACGGGCATGTAACGAGGGGGTAAGTGCAGCTGAGTTTATCCTGAGTTTACATTCTCACGTAAGGTTGATATTCTTTTTCCCCTTGAATGTTAAAAATAGCAGAATTCCCTCAGAACTAAGGACTCCGAGCCTCTGTCTGGGCAGCCGAGAAGCGATTCTGCAGGGACCCGTGTGCTGTTTACCCATATTTTGGAGGTAGCATCAGGTGTGTGGTCGCACACCTCACAGAGCCTGAGCAGGGATGGGAGACGCGTCATTACCCACGGAGAAGGCCCCTGGGGTCTCTGCCCCCCGAGGTGTGTCAACTACTGAAGTGATTTGCTTTTCACCCTAGCAGAACCTCCATGTTCTGCCTACTTAAATTCAGTTCTGGAGTTGGAAAAAGCCAATCCCCCTGGCACCCCGGGGAGCCTGGTGATTGCTCATTTCTGTTCATTCCTAAGAGTGCCTCTCCTGCCCAAGTGTGGGTGTCGGCCTTTTCACAAGAGGCGCAGCACAGGTTTAAGGAAAAGCTGGGCGGCCACTGTTTACAGTCCTCAGGCATCAACATATTTATCCCCTGCCTTCCCGTCTCCTGCTTCCTACCAAACAAAACTCACCGCAGCCGTTTCTGAACGTCTGGGGGTCAGAGTCCCCATGCACACCTCGGGAAGGGGGTGCAGCACAGCAGAAAGCAACCGTGCGAAACTGCGGATCACCATGCAGCAAAGAATCCTGGGCCCGGGACTGGCACCATTGCTCCATTTTGCTGGTTCAGTGTGTGACTGCTCAGATTTTATGTTCCCATGCTTTCAAAACTATCCCCCGAAATGACAGAGGTGGACAGTTTGGTGAACACTTGTAGTTCATCTGCACTTGTGTGGCACTCTCCAGGAATTAAGGCATTTTTAGAGAAGCCATCTTCAGCTGGGCTCTTTCACCGTCTTCTTTTTTCACTCTTTCCCACCTCCACCTTCACCCACCATCTCTTCATAATTTTCCAGCACTCCTCCGACTCAAAAAAAGCTAGGAAACTCAGCTTATTTAATGGTTCAGGACATATTGTGCAAAAGCCAAAGTAAGGGAGAAGATGAACCGCCATCATTTAACGAACACCTGCACCATCGAGCATGTCCAGCTCCCCAGGGTGTTAGTGGTGGCCTCAGAGTGTCCCTGGCTAAAGCCACGAATTCCCAGCTACGCTCTCTCAGCGCCTCGCAGTAGTTCTTTCGGACGCATCAGGCCCAGTTCTGTTTCCCCGGGGCTCGCTATGGAATTGGGTTTCAGAGAATCCAGCATAGTGATGAACAGTTGTGCCCCTATGAAGGATGGGAATATAGGTGACCAGGGTAGACATCAAGGACAGCAACTGAAAGCTGCTTCGGGAAGCTTCGGCCAGCTGTGTCTGGGCCCCGGGGGGGTTGGCTGGGCGTGAAGGGTGAAATAGGTGGCCAGATGCTGTCCGTCACCTCTTTGACCTCTGTCCGCTTTTCCAGGCAAGGAAGCTGCCTGCTACCATGAGCATTTTCACAGGGGGTGACCGCTGTTTTCATCATGGAAAAGCTGGGGCGGGGTGGTGTTTGGGAGGAGGAGACACTTCATAGGGGCAGGGAGAGCCGGCCTAGTACGCTGCTGCTGCCTCAGCACAATGTTTGGCACACAGTAGGTGCTCAGCAAGTGCTTGCTGAATAAAGGGAGGAATGAAAGAAGGAGGAACCCCTGCTCTTGGAATTGAAACTGAGGAGGTGGGAAGTGGAGATTGGCACGCTATGTCCGGGGGTGTTGGCAGCCAGGGTTTGGCCTTCTAATTCTGAATTTGTAAAAACTGTGGTCTGCTGAGGGCCTGATGATCCTGTTGCTAACCTGTTGAAGGGCAAGATCTTGGGGGTATCTAAAACTCCTCTGAGTTCCCCCTTGGATGTCCCCTCCTTTGGCATGACAGCCTAACAGGCTGTGTGAGTCATCCTACTGGGTGATTCACCCCAATCGCGTTTGGGTCTCTCTGCCCTTCCCTGTCAAGCCTCCAGATCTCAGTGTCAGCCCTTTTTTTCAGTGGGCCATGATTTCCTGAGAACCTCCCAGGTGAGGCAAGTTGTGGGAATGTGTCTGGAGACCCCCTAAAATGCAAAGCTTGCTTGTGCTGGCAGGTCCCAGAGTTGTTACATATATTTATAGAAAAGTCTTGGATGCCTGTCATTCCCAGGCTGACCATGGGCACACAGAACATACTTTGCTGAGTTTTTGATCCAGCCAAATTTATATTTTCAGGGGAAAAAACTGCTAAAGCATTATGTAGGGTCAATTGGACATTTTTCTAATGCTTAAAGATAAGCAATAACTGAATCAACCTTTTCCCTAGGACTGTGCTTTGTTGTAAGACATAGAAAAAAAAAAAAAAAAAAATTAGTTGTGGGTATAATCCCAGAAAGGATTAACAGGGACTAGCAGGTTCTCTGTAGAGGAGGAACTCTCATGTGAGAATGGACCCTTTGCCTTCTGTAGGCACACGGGAGTCACTTGCTGTTTTTTTCTCACCAGAGAGCTATGATTTTAACTTGACCTAGAAAGTCTTCCATAGTTTTAAAGTCAGACCACACAGGAAAACTGCATTCTGTTGCCCTTAAACACAACCCACCATGGTCTTTGATTAAAAGAGGGCCATTTCCCTTTTTTTTTTCTTTGAAAGGACTCTTCTATAGACTGAGAGAGTGTACACTGGCCAGGAAGGAGCCTCCTGTGTTAGTGTGGTTGTATGTGCAAGAGGTTAAGTTGTGCCTAGGTGCAAGGAACCAGGAGCTAAGATATTACAATCAGCCCACTTCTACTTCCCTTTGGGATCCAGTTGTTCAGGAAAGTGTCAAGAGGTTAAGTCTAACAGTATCGTGGCCATATTTACACCAATCTACCAAAAACAACTGGGGATATGCTAGGAGTGGAGCTTGTCTTGGACAGCCTGAGCCAGAAATAGGACAAGATTTATACAGAAAAAAGAAAAGACTTGTTTTCTCACAGATACTGAACGTGCTGATTCGTTTCAGTGTCATGTTCTCCTATAAGATGCTTAAGAGTTGGACAGAATACCTTTAGATGTCATAACTAACATAATTGAGACATGTGGACATTCCTACCAGGGCATAATATGGTAAACACTTCCACCGAGATTGCAGAGCTGCTGTAATTTTTTTCTAACACATCATGCCATCTGCACACACAGTAAAAGAATCCAGTAGTTGCCATGCGAAAACAGGACTTCTAGTGAAGGGCACAGACGGCTCCCCAAAGGGCGCTGGGTTATGCACAGTGATGAGAACTGGAAGCAATTTTCCAGCTAATGGTCTGCCCGTGACTGCTTGCAACGAGCCGGCACTGCACGCTACCATCTCATTTCCAAATCCACAGCAAGCTAAGAGCTTCCAAAGCCCATAATCTTGACTGAATTGGGGTTCTTTCCCCCTAGTTAATCTGGTTAATCTGTCAATGCTCCAAGGATATCTTCGGTCAGGGCCATGAGTTAGTCTTTCTGGGCGGAGCAGGTCATGTTCATATCAACTGGCAGGACAGCAGCTTGGAAGGCTCACCCCCTTTATGGAGAACCCTCGGTTGAGGCTGCAAGAGGAAATAGGGAAGACACAGTAAGTTATTACTTTAGGTTCCCAGGTTCTGGTATGAAGCAGTTAGACTATTCCAATAAACCCTAACATCCTTAGGTTGAGGAGAAAGTTCTAGTGAAGATACTGGTCACTCAACTCCAGGACAAATAATGGTGGCTTGGATTCTTGAAATGTCCTTCTACCATTTGGCAGAACATGGGAGACATCCATCTCTGGGATCGGAAAGATTGCCTGTGTTAACCGAAAAATAAAAGGCCTTTCCACGTGAGAGGCAACCGGCATTTATTTAAGATCAAAAGAAAAGGAATAGCTATTCAGGTGAGCACTGGTTCAGGCAGAAGCCCAAATAGCATTCTGATTAGTAGACAAAGGCAATGGATATTTATGAGAAAGGGAAGGGAAACAATTCCATCAGCAGAAGAAAGGCATTTCTATCGGTGCTGATAAGCTCACAGAGTGATGCTAATTCTAAGCAACGATTTTAATTTTCAGTCTTGCAGTCATCAGCGGGCAGTCATCATCTCTGCTTTCCTGTTATCCTTGCAAACAGTTCTTTGAAGCACAATGTTGCTCTAGGCCCAGTCCAGAGTTTATTTTCCATTTTAAGATTCCAAGGTTTGAGACATAAGACATGCAAGGTAGCTCCTCTGGCATGGCAGCCCCAGCTTTATTTTAAAGTGGCTCTGTTTGTTCTTATTTTTTGACACCTGGAAGTGAGGGCAAAACCAGATCTCTGGAACTGGAATTCATCCCTGAGGGGGCTGTGGTTTGGGAAACTTCATACATGATAAGGTTTTATGCATTTACTTAATCCGGGATGAAATCAGGTTGGGAACCATGTGAAGGCATTTTTTGGGGTGGTGGTGGTGCAGGAGGGGTTCAACCATCAAGAAGCTTTCCTGGGATGAAACCTAGAAGGAAATATTGGAGGCAGTGTGGCTGGAGCTCCTGGATTTGCTACTTGAAAAATCAGGTTCACTGAGCTGGTTAGAGACTAGTCAGAGAAAGTTATTAACATCTGGCCGGAGACTGAACTACCTGAATTGCAACCCTACTTTGACCTTGGGAATGCTGGTATTGATTTTGATTTTATTGATTTTCCTAACTTTTTATTTTTTAATTTTCCTATTATTTTATCTGGGTTCTCCCTACAGTTCCTATACACAGGTCTTCATTCATTAGTTAATATAGGCATGCAAGCTAATGTCTGGCTCAGAAAAATGTCAATATTAGCTTTATTTAATACACAAAACTATTGTGCAATGGGAGTGGATAGCAAGAATTCTTGAGGTTAAAACCAAATCTACCTAGGTTTTCAAACTGGCTTTTCAAAACAGGAGAGAATGCACAATTTATAAGCACATGCTTGATTAAAACTTGCTCTTTATGAGAAAATGCAAAAACAAAAGTAAGGTACTGTTTAAGCATATTAAATATAAAATAATAATACACACTATTGATAAACTGTAATGAAAGTAGAATACTAATAGATTGCTAGTGGCACTGTAAACTGGAGAAACAGCACCAATTTATTTAAAAACTATTAAAAATTCACATTCCTTGACTAAGTGATCCCATTCTAGAAGCATATCCTAAGGAAATAGTCTAAAAAATGAAAGAAGCTATACACACAAATACGTAACCTAGAGCTTATTTATAATAGTGGAAAAGCTTGAAAACAACCAGTTTCCTAAATTATGGTGTGTTAACAAGATGGATGACTGCATGGGCATTAAAGCAATAATTATGATGATTATGTAGCAACACGGTAAACAGTTATGATATACTACAATAGGAACTTACACATATGCCTAGCAAAGAACTGTAAATGAAGTAATGAAAATGCTGGAATTTTTATTATTGTTATCACAATACTTTGCAAAACAACCGCAAAAGCTAGGCTCACAAGGGTGCAGGTTTGACCCATGAGCACTGACTGACTAAAGCATCCATGGTGGTTTGCACTCACTAACAGTGCCTTGAAAATAAAGACTTCGCAACTGCGTGAAGGGATAATACTTAAGCGTTACTGAAGGGGGGTTAAAGGGCAGCACGAGGGAAAGTCTTCTGTCCAGGTCGGCCTGCAAGGGAGCAGTACAGCCTGGAGCAAGAGAGGTTTCTAGGAGCCTGACACAGTCCAGCATCCTTACGACTTTTGCTCAAGTCAGCTCTGGAACATGTGTGACCTTGGGAAAGTATTATTAAGAATATCCTATAAAATAAAATTTAAAATTAAATAATGATAATAAGGAGTGAACTCTACTTAACTACTATACTTTACATCCCAAGTCAGGATCAGTTAACAGTTATTGCAGTTGCCGCTTCTCCAAATGACCTTGTTTTCCCGGGGGCCTCTGATAGCTGGTGCAGACTGAATGTGTCTGATTTTAGCATATAAAACACTTATAGCCGTGGGCATGAGCTGAGCCCGTTGCACTTTAAAGCTCTTTCACCTGTGGTTCCCCAATCCGCTTCCTCACATCTCTGGTTGATGGGCCAACATTAGTGGCTTAGGCATCCGGGGAACCAATGTCCTCTTTCCAAGTCCAGATGGGTAGAGAAACATTAGAGTCCAGTGACTAAGAGCATGGGAATGAGGAGGATCTGGGTTGACATCCTGAGCTCATCATTTCCCAGTTATATAATGTTGAAACCTGAATTTCTCAATGTCTTCACCTTTAAAATGGAGATCATAATCACCTCCTCACGGGGCTGCTGTGAGGATAACATGAGCTTGTAGAAAAGGCACTTTGCATGGTGTTGGGTGAATAGTATCTGCTAAGTGATGGCTACTACTTTATTGTTAGTATCATCATCATTATTATTGTTATTATTATTACACATTCCCAGGATTTCCTAGAGAAACTAGAGACACAAATGGGTCAATGTTCCAAAGCCAAAGCTGGGGCCAGCAAGAAGAGACGACATGCCTGGAGGTCAAGCCTTTGCAGCCTCCGGGAGGTAGATAACACTCCTCTCCTCTTGCCCGCCAAGGCCAAGGCCACGGTCAGCACTCCCTGGCTTCCACTCTCCCCCATGCGAGCAGACTCTGACAGACAGTCCCTCATATGGAGGGTTCACATCAAAGGCAGGAAGGGGCTGGCCTGGGGGCAATGCCAGCAGCCTTGCAGAGGACTCGAGAACAACTCTGGGACCAACTGTGTCCAGCTCCACTTTTCCCCACCCCAGCTGCAAGAGGAGTCGGGGAAGGAGTAAAGATACTGTGTGCGGGAAGCCTCCCTTCTCAGGGGCTGAAGGGAAGAAATAAGACTTCACCTCTTGAAAAGGCTCCGTGGTATCTTCCATTCAAAAAGAAGAGCCGTATCTCCTATCTGTGTATTTCATGTGACACAGGTTTGAGGAATTTGGGGTGGACCTGAATTGCATTTTGGTGTGAGATGCACATTCCAAAGGAGTGACACCCATGGTGGCCCCCACATAACAGCCAATAATAAGCAGAACTAACATTTATTGAGCAGCTACAATGGGCCAACTACAATTTTATAGGCTGCCACTCATTGAATCCTCACCAACATCTTTGAGGCCTGAATTGTATCATCCTTGTCACAAACGTGGAAAAAATGAGGCCAAGTTCATTAACTTGTCACAGCCACACTGCTAAGATGCATAGAGCTGAGATGAGAACCCAGATCCGTTCTCACCACAGTGCTTTCCTGACTCAATAAGAAATGTGTTAGGAAAGCAAATTCCTTAACCCCAACGAGAACATAGGAGAGAAAGCAAGTAGTTGTGTTTGTATAGAAGAATGCCCATCACACACGAACCCTATACAGTAAGTGCCATAAATAAGAGGTTCGACCTAGAGAAAGTTCGTTTCTATTTAACAGTCTAAAATCTTTCCTATGTTTAGAGCAGTGGTTCTCAACTGAGTGCAGTTTTGCCCCCTAGGGTACAACATTTTTGGTTGTCACTGCTTGTGGGTGACACTACTGGTATCTACTACTACCAGTAGTGACACTACTGGTCACTACTACTGGTATCTAATGGGTAAAAGCCAGGGACCCTGCTAAAAATATCCTCGAATGCATAGGACAGCCCCCTACTTCAAAGAATCATCAGGCTCACAGTGTCAACAGTGCTGAGGCTGCTAGAGGATACAGGTCCCTGTTTATCTTCTACTCCTGGTTGTGAGCCAAATATATCACCCCTGAAATAGGCCAAGATAAAAACCAAGCCAAGTGTGCCTCTTGTGCGTACAGGAAATAAGGCGAATTTCAAACCTCACTCCCCTCTTCTATTCATCATTTGCTCATTTTATTTGATTTTATATACAATGTAATCAAAACCTCTAATATTAAATCACTTTCTATCCTGTAGAACCCTCACAGGCAAGCCATTACAAGGATCAAGACTGGATGATTTAAACGGGTATGCTCAATTAATTAATTAGTATGTATGGGAGAAGGTAGGAGATAAAAGATGGACAAAGGAAGATTGATGTGGCAATAAAACTAAACTCTGCCACCAGGCCTTTGGTGGGAGAAGTCACACGCATTCTCAGTTGCTCTTGTTTCATTTCTGCCGCTGCCTGACCCCCGACAGTTGGGGCGGGGGCTGTTTGCCTTTGAGTATGATTAAGAATTCAACACTATCCCCTGACTGCATGAAGACTGAGGTCAGACTCTCAGACATGATGGCAGAGGACTTGGGCTAAGGGCAATAAGACAGGTGACGCATACAAACCTGTGACCTCTCCTAACCCCTAGTAAACTGGAAACCACAATGACCTTGGGAGGGTTAATTTTATGCGTCCACAGGGTGCCCAGATGTTTGGTGAAACACTATTCTGAGTCTGTCCGTGTTTCTGGATGAGATTAACATCTGAATCTGTAGACTGAGTGAAGCAGACTGTCCTCTCTAATGTGGGTGGGTCTCAGCCAATCAACTGAAGGCCTGCGTAGGACAAAAGGCTGAGTTAGGGAGGACTGACTCTCTCTGCCTGTCCTTGAGTTGGGACATCAGTCTTTTCCTGCC